AAGGGCCCCCATGGTGCGGGTCACAGCCTGGAGGGGCGGTGTCCACACTGCTGTGAGCCAAGTCAAGAACCGGTTCCCAAGAAGGTAAATCATGACAATGTCTGGCATCCAATGAAAGAATGTCAGGTGTGCACAGAGGCAGGAAAGCATGACCCACAATGAGGAGGAGAATCAGTGTATTGAAACCGAACCATAACTGACTTGTAAATTTAAGTCAGTGAGTGAAGGGGCAACTTTAAAAGGCCTAATAAATGAGTAATGGATTCCCTGAAAAGACTGGGGGTGAAGAGACAATTTTGAAAAAACAATGACAGAAAACTTTCCCATCATGATAAAAATGATAAACCCACCAATCCAAGGAGCCAAATGAACACAATGAGCGAGCACGAGAAACAGAAAGAAAACCACATCTAGTCACATAATTAAACTGCTCAAATCCATTGAAAGAGCAAAAGTCTCCAAAGCTGCTACATGCTACATACTGAAAAATTATGTCAGATTTCTCATCAGAAACAGTGCAAGTGAGAAGATGGTGGAGCAGCAGTTTGAAAGGACTGAGGCGGTAGAGGGGGCGCGGCAGGTCAAAGTAGCATTCTATGCCTCCCCCAGAAGTCTTTCAAAAATGAAGGTGAACGATGACATTTACAGAAACATAAATGCTGAAAGACTTCACCACCAGCAAACCCACACCACAAGCAAAGTGCTTCCAGAAAGACGGACACTGATACCAGATAGAAATCTGGGTGGCCAGGAAGGGATGAAGAACGACAGACATGGTACCTGCCCGGGAAAACATATAAGATGTAAGATGTCTTATCATTTACCTCCCTTTAAAAATGTGGGATAGACACAACAACAGTAATAATGGTGGATTTCGGGGCTTATAGCATATGTCAAGTGCAATGCATGATGACCACAGCATAAGGGCAGGCAGGAGGGAAATGGGTAGAGGTACTCTACCACTTGAAGGCAGGCTGTGGTAAGTGACAGATGTGTGCTCTAGAGCCTAAAGCAGCCGCTGAAATAACAAAGGAGAGAGTGACATATAATAAGTCAACAAAAGGAGAGACAGTGGAATCCTATAGAAACCATGGAAACACAAGTTAGAGCAATTGATCTTCTTTTTATAGGGACTCTACCCTATAAAACGCTTGAACAAGTGGCCAGATATTTGTACAAGAACGAAGAGGACAGCATACTTTTAACCCCACATTAATTTGAAAAGTATATGGAAAGTGTTCAGAAAATTTTATTGCAAACAAACAATGATTGCTGGATTTCCCTTGGCCTGTTTTCTGTCCCTGATTTGGGCCAAGTCCCCTTGTAGTGCAGGAGGCACAGAAGACAAGAGGGCAGCAATGGAGGAGGCCTCTTTTAATGGTTGGAAGAGAACCTGCAAAGAAAGAGGGGCAAAGGTTTGGCTTCTTAAGAGTAACAAAGACGTCCCTGGGTGGGCTCGAACCACCAACCTTTCGGTTAACAGCCGAACGCGCTAACCGATTGCGCCACAGAGACCGCTGGAGATCAGGTACTCAAGGTAGCAGAGAGCAAGTCTTTATTCACCGCTAGCAGCGCCATATCCCTGTTACTGGGCAGAGGACCGTGTAGAGCGCCATATCCCTGTTACTGGGCAGAGGACCGCGTAGACTCCAAAACCTCGGAGAACCGTAGAAGTGGAGTTCACGCTGCGTGTTGGTCGCGTTTGAAACGCGTGCATTGGGTGATTCCGAAGGCAATGCGCAGCCGAATGGTCTCCCTGGCCTTGCTCTACTCTCTCCTTTGATGCCAGCGCCCCATGCACGCCCGGAACCGGGACTCCCTGGGCCTGAGCCGCGTGGGGCCCAAAAGATGCTGAACGGCCCGTGGGCTCCAGTGATTACTCTTCTTGTTTGTTTCGGCTGCAACCGACCTTACGGAGGCTGCACGTACTTACCTGGCGGGGGAGACACCTTCCCCCGAAGTGGGGGCGGGCAGAGGAAGGCGCTGGTCTGTGGCCCCCAGATAAGGAAGGGGCGCAGCCTGCGCGCGTTTGAACATGTGCGTAAAAGTCAAACTCCAAGCACCACGAAGGGTCGGTTCCTGCCGTGACTCGGATTCGAACCGAGGTTGCTGCGGCCACAACGCAGAGTACTGACCACTATACGATCACGGCACGCTACACCCGCGGTGCTGACCCGCGCCCTTGCTCTATGAGCTTTGACATAAAACCACTCCACTTACTGCGCTTTGTTCCTGAACAACTGCAGGCATCTTCTCTTTCCTGCTCGTTCTGTTTTCCCCTCAATTCTGATGATAGAACAAAACAGACTCCCCCTCCCCTTCCCAGCAATTCGCATCTCCCCAAATCCGGCCCAAGCCTCTGCCCCGGCCTCCTGGTGAGGCCCCCTGTCGTGTCCACGTCTCCCCCGCACTTTCCCGCCTCTTCGCGTTTGCCACGTGGACCCCAGCCTGCCCACTCTCTCCAGCTCCTGTCGCACCGCCCGCGGTGGGGCGAGGGGAGCGCCAGCGGCGCAGACTTGGGGGCCACTTTCTGCGCCTTCCTGGCATTCCCCACCGCCCGGGGCAGCCAGGGAAAGCGGCCCCTAATCTTCTCCGCAGGCTCTGCGCAAAACAGGGCGACGTCCCGGAAGGAGCAAGAGGACCCAGCGCGCTGCCTGGCTGGCCCTCGTGGGCAGCGTCAAAAGAGGTTGATTTCGAGGACAGAACCAAAGGGAAGGCCTAATGGTAGAAAAGCCCACGGTCTCGGGGCGAGTCTCAAGTCTCACGCCCGGCTGAGCCGGGCGCCGAGAGCCGAACCGCCCCCTGCGCCCTGATCTGGAAAGTCCCGAGACCAGGGGCAGCAGGGACTGCGCACTCCGGCTGGTTCTCAATCGGAGGCGATTTAGTCACCTCCCCCCTGTCCCCCCAATACACACACGCCCGACCCTCGCTGTGACTCTAGTGCTCGTCTGTGGACATTTGGGATGGTCGCGACTGGGGGAAGGGGAGAGAGTTCCCTCTGCTGCTTAGTCCGCAGAGTAACTCAACACCCAGCAGTCCACGGGCCGAGCCCTCTGCACAGAACTGATCCGATCCCAACCCCTCCTGCAGACCCAGGTCGGCTCACCTGACCCACGAGAGAACACCTGCCTCTTTGGATGTGGGGAAGCTCCGGCGACGGAGAGAACTTCAGGTGGTTTCTGGCCAGAGCATCCGAAAGGCTGGACTTTCCGTCAACCAAGGCGCGGGGCGGGTGCGGGTCGGCAGGTCGCGGCAGGTCAGCGCCGCAGAGCTTTGCTTGAAAACGTGTTCCATCCCGCTATTCGGGTCCCGCACCCCTCAGAGTGCCTTCTGAGGTTGGGGATCCCGGGGTCTCACCCTGGGCGCCTCTCCTCTCGCCTCCTCCCGACCACTTGGTCCACTGACCCGCCCAGGCGACCTTCTCTCCACGCGGGGCCACCTCGCAAAGGCGCAGTCCCGGGCGGT